GATAATTACGAACAGTTATATCAATAGAATTTTGGCCAAAAATTATATAAAGAGACAATTGAATGCATTTTTGAGATATAGATTATGTCTTTCATTTGGTATCCGTTCAGTAAACGTCGTCCTTAACTCGTCCGCCGTCTCCTTCCGACACAAAACGCTTTCGTCCCCTAAAATGGACAATACATTTATTAATGCATTTGAGAGAAAATCGGTTATCATCTCAAGACATACCTCGAGGGCAAATTCTTGAGGACATCGTTCGGAATAAAGCCTTCCTTTTCACACTTCAGCGCAAACTTCTCGAGCATAGTGTAGGCGTGCGGCACATCTATGCTTATTTCCGGCATCTCCTCAAACACCCGATAAAAGCCCTAATATTCATAACAAACATATTTAATAAAAAAATATATAACCATTTGATAGCAAAGTTTGCTTACATTTTTCAACTGATCCAAAGTGACGATCGCTGAAGAGGAGAGAGACTTGAGAAGAGCGCAAATGAGATCCATAGCTCTCTCGCCCATGTCTTCAATGATCAAAACGACTGCTTCGAAGACGAACTCGTGATGAAAGTGCGGAACTTCGAGCTCTTGGAGACAANAGTTGATTCCTATGATTTGATTTATATATTTATTGCTTTATTTGAACCTTAAATATGCAATTTTAATAATTTGATTTCAAGACATAATTAGATTTATTGTCATTTAAAAGGAAATAACAAAAATGTTAGCATTTTTATAACAATTTAGATTATAGTGAAATAGTGAACAAAACGTGTTATAAAGTACTGCAGACTGAATGCAGAATTCAATCAATAAGTGGTAGTTTTCCATACTTTCTATGATCTGAAATGGTTTGCCATTCACTCACCATCTATTGGATGTTAACTCTGTTTTAGCTGTTTGTCGTCAGACTTACGGTTAGCATATTTGAAACATCAACGGAATACACTTTTTATATCATTTTTTACATAATTACACAACTAATTAAAGTTTATTATCATTTATTTTATTTTAGTTGAGAATTAAACTTAAATTTATGGCAATTAAATACATTTCATTTCTACGTTTCCTTTAAATTTTAAATTAAAAGTTGTATTAATTTGTTAATAATTTTTTTCTTCCTTATAATCTTATGTTAAATTATAGATATTTTTTGTAGAATTAAAGCATGAATTCTTATGTAATAATTATGTCTCATGAATACAATTACATATTCAATTAAATTAGTGATAATTATGTTCACTATTCACTGTACAGTTAACTGTCTAATAGAGTATATGTCACGCATCCATATCGAGGTCTTATAAAATGTTTATTTAATTCCTTTAAGAAAATCAAAGCAATAATAATAGTCTATGGTTTATATAATCATTTGATTTGGTTATTCAAATAGCAATTGATTGAATAGATTGCATAATAATGAAAAAGTGAGGCTACATTGAAAATGTCGCAGACATTGATTGCGTTGACACTACAATCCATTGTCTATATTATAGACTATAAGACAATATTCGCTCCAATTGTAAATTTGAAGCAAAAAATATCTGCTTTTGAGATAACTTTTACTTAAACTGAAATTTATATTGAAATAACAAACAATTCTTTTGTGGATACACTCGAAGCGTATTCTTCGTCTCAATGAATGACTTCCTCTTTGGTTATGCTATACAATGTGTTTTTGTCTCAATATTTTTGTTTTCATTTGATTTACTTTTTCCACACAATCGCCGAAACATTATTTAAAATAATTCCTGTTTTTCCAGTTATTTGTTGATATCTTGGCTTTTATTATACACCGATTCTATCTTATCATAAGCTATGAATCCTTTCTTTGCTTTATATAACACACTATTCTTTGCAATCATTTCTTGGCTTTTTTGCTCAATTGTTTAGTACAGTATATATTTATTTTCAATCGCTTATGGGTTTTTAATTTTATTAGAAAAAACTTCACATTAACTATACTGTAATGTCATAATCTTTAATGAGTTTATTTGTATTAAAAGCGTGAAATCGTTTTTGTATGTATTTCCTACACATTTGTTGTTTTTATAGTTAGATTTAATTAAAGTATTAATTTTAATCGACATTTTGTTTGATAAACATTGCTTTTAACTACATTTGCTGTTTCTTAAGATTGATAACAGTATCTATAGTTTACGGAATTACTGCTAAATAAGCCACAAATGGGTGTTTGAGTTCATTATACAAAATAATATCATATTCTGTTTACACGACAGAAGTTTTTTTGGTCACAACAAAAAGACAAAACAATTTGTAGCCAAATGTTTGATCAGACGTTTTGTTTGATAAATTATTTTTACTATTTTTGGAGTCATTTCAGGATATATTCAGTTGTTTGTTATATTTAACAATAAAAACACCAATTGTTTGTGTTGTTTGAATTAATTGTTATTATTTGGGAAATGAATGCTAATTTCATGATTAATAAGTTAGTATTAATAACTTTTAAGACAAATATTCTGTGGTTTTAATTGTTAAGTAATAATTCATTTTGCGTTTTGCCAGTTGGAGGAGAAAAGCAAACGATTATTATATAAAGGACTTAAATGTGTGTATTGTATGACATATACTACACAAACGTGTTGTGAATAATTTTTGCTGAAATTTCACAATAAATAATAGAGAAATATAGTGTAGATTAGGATTGGGTTAGCGTTTAGTTGATTATTGAGACAATTGAACAAAAGGTATCGGAAAAGACATGACTCACACATCGAGGGCTAATACGCAATGGATTTGTTGAGAATATGATAATTATTACAACATTTGTATTAAATAAGGAAAAGATATGGAAAGGTAGGGGTGAGTGAACCCGGAGTAGAATTAACGGGAAAAAACGGTTGTCTTAAATAGGTTTCTGGTTTAACTTTACATTCAGTTTTCATTTTATTCAACAATTTTTAAGGACACAACTTTCGTAACTTTCAATTTCAACACAAGTCAATGACTGCTTTCTCACACATTGACGACACAATCCGTACAAATAATATGAATTCAATCCAATAGCCAACCATCGGTCGAGCATATAGTCAGTCCTCTCAGCCCCCAGTCCTTGATCTAAGAAAAAGTGGAGCATTTCATTGTTTGCCGCAAAGACTTGTTTTTTGCTCTTTCGCTCTCACATTATTGTATACATCGATCAGTTATGCCGACCCATAGCACAGACACACAATCCTTACATTTACTTCCAATACTCTGTGATTTTAAATATTCTTTACAAAAACTTTGAAAAACTTTTATCGCAGAACTTTAAATAAAGAGTATTTGTATGCTTTCAATGAGACCCAGAGGTGAAGCCCTGTTATGCGAGCATTTTATTAAAATTGTTGATTTGTTGTACACATAGGCGGTGCCGGTGGTAAAGGGACGTGGGGTAGACCTGGAAGTGAATTGGTTGGTGTGGAGGAGGGCCTCGAAGACCCACACGATCCTAACTATGACTCTGACAGTGAGGTATGTATTGAATGATGCGATGGTTTTGTTGAGCAATAGTTTGAGTGGATTCGCTCGCTTTGCAGGACGTTTGCAAATTTGAAGCCATAACTCCTCCGCTCGAAGAGAATGAAATCGAGACCGCTTTGACTCCCATTTTGAGCGAATACTTCGAAAATGGAGACACCGATGAAGTGGCGCTTTCTATTGAAGAGATCAATTTGGGAGAGAATTTGCATCAAATTCTTGTGATAGCGGTTACGCTCGCGATGGAGAGGAAGGCCTCTAATCGAGAGATGACTTCAGTCCTCATTTCTGACTTATACGGACGCGTTCTCCACGAGGAGGACATCGAACGAGGCTTTGATATATTGCTGAATAGTCTTCCAGATCTGGTGTTAGACACTCCCAACGCGTCGACAGTGTTGGGTAATTTCATCGCTCGCGCGGTGGCCGACGATTGCATTCCTCCGAAGTTTGTGCGCCGATACAAAGGTGTGGTGGAGTGCGCTCAGGCGCGTCTGGCCATCGAACACGCGGACATTCTCCTCAGTATGAAACACGGTTTGGTTAAACTGGACAGCGTGTGGGGCGTCAGCGGAGGCATGAGACCAGTCAAGTATTTGATAAAACAGATCCAATCACTTCTCAAGGAATTCCTATCGTCGGGAGACATCGAAGAGGCCACGCGTTGTCTCCAAGAGCTCGAAGTTCCGCACTTTCATCACGAGTTCGTCTTCGAAGCAGTCGTTTTGATCATTGAAGACATGGGCGAGAGAGCTATGGATCTCATTTGCGCTCTTCTCAAGTCTCTCTCCGCTTCAGCGATCGTCACTTTGGATCAGTTGAAAAATGTAAGCAAACTTTGCTATCAAATGGTTATATATTTTCTTATTAAATCTATTTGTTATGAATATTAGGGCTTTTATCGGGTGTTTGAGGAGATGCCGGAAATAAGCATAGATGTGCCGCTCGCCTACACTATGCTCGAGAAGTTTGCGCTGAAGTGTCAAAAGGAAGGCTTTATTCCGAACGATGTCCTCAAGAATTTGCCCTCGAGGTATGTCTTGAGATGATCACTGATTTGCTCTCAAATGACAAATGCATTAATAAATGTATTGTCTATTTTAGGGGACGAAAGCGTTTTGTGTCGGAAGGAGACGGCGGACGGGTTAAGGACGACGTTTACTGAACGGATACCAAATGAAAGACATAATCTATATCTCAAAAATGCATTCAATTGTCTCTTTATATAATTTTTGGCCAAAATTCTATTGATATAACTGTTCGTAATTATCCAATAATTTAAACGCTATTTTTGGGATATAAATCGGTTTTTGTGTTTTAATTCATGATTATTTGTTTACCTTTCAAGTCATATAATATAAAAACAAATTCACTTAAGAATAGAAAAACAAAAAACAATAAAAAAATAAAATAAAAATCAATTATTATATAAAAAGCATTAAAAGATGAGATGATGTCTGAAAATGTAAAAAGAGTGCTCAAAATGACTGCAGTTTTGCAGCATATTTCTGTCGATAAGAGTTAGAGAGACGAATCAAACGTTTTCGTGAATTTGCGGTACAATTCATTTCAATTTGTAATCTTATATATGAGACAAAAATGTTTAACTTTTAGATTTCGATTAAAATTGTATAACAAAAAGCAAATTATAATAAAAACATTGTCTTTCCGATAATGTATTTTGAAAAAAATGAATAAAACAACTGTTGAAAAGTGTATATTTTTAATTCAATTCAATCTTTAAATTGCAATTTTTTCGATGAATAAAATCAAATTTATTTAAAATGATTTGACAAACAAACAAAATGTAAACTAAAATGGGGTAAACATTGGTTCAGACATATCAATGCATTCCCCGATTAACAACTTTTATAGTTTTATATAACGAATTGCTTTTAAAATTCAATTTTTTAAAGTTAACATAAATATGCGTTTATTTAGTTTCAAAAAATTTGTATTTAATTAGAAAAGTCTAATTCATTGAAATTCATTACGCGAGTCCGCGCTTCTTCATCTCCTGGAGCAGGAATGAGCCCATCTGTGCCGGCGATCGCGAAACAGTCACCCCAGCGCTCTCGAGGGCGTCGATCTTCGCCTGTGCGCCACCCTTTCCGCCCGCAATGATGGCTCCCGCGTGACCCATACGACGACCCGGCGGTGCAGTCAGACCAGCGATAAATGAGACCACAGGCTTAGAGTTGGGGCCAGAATTGTGTTGCGTCAAGTACTCGGCCGCCAACTCCTCTGCGTTTCCTCCGATTTCTCCGATTAAAATAATTCCTATCAAAATATGGGACAAAATGTTTTAAATTCAAAACTCCTTTCGATTGGTTAACCGATTGAACTGACCTTTGGTTTCGCTGTCCTTCAAGAAGATTTCGAGACAATCGATAAAATCGGTTCCATTGAAAGGATCGCCTCCAATGCCAACGCATAGAGACTGACCCAAACCCACTTGAGTTGTTTGGTGTACGGCTTCGTAGGTGAGAGTCCCGGAACGGGAGACGATTCCGATTTTGCCCTTAGAGTGTATGTGTCCGGGCATTATACCGATCTTACACTCACCGGGCTTTATAATGCCCGGACAATTGGGACCAATCAGACGGCACTTGTTTTGATGGACGAGTCTGTTCTTCACTTTAACCATATCTAACTGTGGAATACCTTCGGTTATGCAAACAATTAACGGTATTTCCGCGTCCAACGCCTCGTGTATGGACTTCGCGGCCGCCGGCGGCGGCACATAGATTATGGTGGCGTTCGCACCCGTCTTATCCACTGCCTGTTTGTCAACAAATAATTCATTTGTTACTATTTCCTCATATCTTAACTTCAAACAAAAAACATTGTAACTAATATTGTGTTTATTTTGTCCTTAAGTTTATTAACTCTTCAATCGCAGCACTTTTTTATCTAAATATTTAAATTTTTTATTGACTTTTATCTCATAAAACAACTGATAATTTCCCCAAAGAATTAACTCCTTTTTTGTTTTATTTGAAGATTCAATGCTTTCTTATTTAAATGATTGTTTCAATCAATTAATGGTAACAACTATTTCGATAAATCCTAAGGAAAAGACAATTACTGTTATATAAAGTGCTGAGAAGTGACTGACTTATCGGTCAAACGAGCGCTTCTGTGATAACTACTAACGATAAGTAAATGAAACGACAGTTTTATCAATTAAAAAACCAAATCTAACACTAAATTCAGTAATCATTTATAAAAAACACATAAAATTCTCGATTTGAATGATAAAAATGGACAGAATTTGGGTGAGAAAGACATGTGTTTGGGATCCGTGTATTGAATACCTCTTTGACAGTATTGAAAACGGGAAGATTGAGATGTGTTTGTCCTCCTTTGCCGGGAGAGACGCCTCCAACCATACGAGTGCCGTATTCTATGGCTTGTTTGCTGTGAAAGGTTCCCTGTTTTCCAGTGATTCCCTGACAAATCACTTTAGTGTTGGATCCGATCTTCAGCGCCGGTCGAGTCGACGAATAGTTATGTCGAATGGATCCCACATTTTGCGCTATAAAGACATACAAATAACAATCACTTTAATCAATGGTTTGCCACTAAATAGTCAACAAATTAGTGATAAATTTTGTTTATCACAGAAAAGGTCAAAGTCTTCGGACTCTTTGCGAAAATGCATTGCATTTTACACTCAATTATTGAATACAATTTCAAATACAATTAATTCATTGCATGCCAAAAGTGTGGATCAAATTACCGATCGATAGTTGTCTGAAAAGCCGCAAATGAATCGCCATATTATCTCTTCAGTGATATTAATCCAAATGCAAACCAATTGTCTGTCATTTAAATGTTTTTACATTCAATTCAAGGGTATTATGAAAGCTGTGAACGCTATCAGAGGCTCTCATAGACTCTCATTCAGTCCATCACTTCATCCATGCATTCAATCCATTGGACGTTATTTTTGCCAATTTTTGTTCATTCGTTAGACTTTCGACTTTTCGACTTCCCTTCAGATCTGATCTGCCATTCAATCCTTCCTCTCATATAACAACCTATCCATCAATATATCACAGATTGTCATCAATCTTACCACAAATAGACAGACAGACAAACAGACAATTTTTGCATTTAATCATCTAATCCATCACTTCTTAAAACTTACGAACAACTCATTTAGGATACTATTATTCTGTAATCAAATATTACTTTAATTGCTTTTTAGTTAACATTAAAAATAACTATAACTATTTGAAATGGACTAGTTTTAAATGTGAATCATTATAATGTAAAACCATTTCTACCACAATAATCATTATAATTAAATTGGGACTCAAATAAACAATTTATTATAAATATGAATATAGAATATGTTTGAGAATAATGTAATTTACATATAAATCATTGCGATGTCAGTCATATACAGTAATCCTGGTTATAACAAATACACTGTAGTATTACAGCAATCAATTGTTCCCTTCATGTTAACAATCATGTAAAAAGTTAACAAAATGTTTTAACATTTTAAACTTATGCAAACTTTTGAATACGTCAACAAATATGATACATGATAGCTATTTAGTTTCAAACTAGATTAAAACATAACATGTAAATGAATAATTGAGTGCTCAGATGAATGGATCAAATGGAGTGACAATTGTAAAGACAAAGGGAACAAGAATCTGAATATTCCGTGAATGCAATACTAGTGGCAGTAGTGGTGTCTCGAGCGAGGGTTGGGCTCACGTCTAGTGTAGAGCAGTATTGAGGCGACGATTGGTTGTGTCGTCGGAGGGAATGAATGAAAGGAAATGCCATAAAATTTGAACTCATTTTGCGTTCAAATACTCAATGAATACAACGATTAGAAGTGATATTTACATTCAATTCACTCATTAATCCATCGATTATGCAATGAATGGTATGTTTAGAGACATTAATTAAGTGAATGGTGTGTTTTGTAAATGTTTTGACAACTTTTAGCAACACTTTCTCAGTAGTGAACAAAAGTCGCAAACTTTGTTCAACACAACCATTCATTGAGTATTGAAAACTGTGAACCAATTAATCGGTTAAATAGATATGGATTGACACAAATTGAATGCAAAACAAGTGATTAAATCAATTAAACATATATTTAAAGTCTAATTAAAGTGACAAATAGTGGGAAAAAGTTGTTGAAGTGTTTGAACGAAACGGTAATAAAATGCAATCATTTATGGATTGAAGACTCGTTTCCAACGATAATCCCTTTCATTGTATTTTTCAAACAAAAAGTCATTTCATTTAACGATTTAATTGTTTTGCAAAAAGCATTTCATTTTGAATTCATTTCGCAAACAATTACTAAATTGTAATCAAAAATGAGTGAAGAGTTTGGGACTAATAGTGAGGACATGTTTTTGGATGAAATGCTTGATTTCGAGCAAAACTATGAAAACAATGGCATCGATGGCGCGGCCGCTGACGAGGCGATGCCCTTTGGATTCAATAGCCTTTTAACGGATCCGTTGAAAGTAACCCGAAGTAAACTAGACTTCAGTAACTGCTCGCAAACGCCCCGAAACTCATTCGCCTCTAATAACGACCGGAAGCGCAAAAACCCCCGAAGATGTCTATCGGAAATGCTCGACAACTCTTCGCACTTCACGTCTCCGGAGGTATTCATTCATTCGTTGATTCAGTTGTTGTTTGAATTGTTTGTAAACTTAGCGTTTGTTTATCACGTTTTTAGGCCAACACAACCGCCTCTGTGTTTGGACACAAAGACATGTCTATCGACGAGCAGTTCTCTTCTCCTCCATTCACTCTTTACACCCGAATGAAAGAGCAGTCTTCGGCTGACAATACCGAGAATGACTCACTGGTGGCCAATACGTCGATGTCATCGGTCTGTTCGCCGATGTTCTCAACGTCTGAATTGAATCCCATTAAGAGACCGAATGCCTCGAAAATTCGTAAAAGTAATTCATTGGTGTCTTCGACACAAAAGAGGACACCATTGATGAGATGGCATTCGGCTAATGAGGCCATTATTAAGAGAGCCGTTCAGATCTCATGCTCCGATCCCTCACTGATCGGTGATTTCAGTAAATCCTATGTTTTGCCTCTAATTCATGGCAAACATCAAGACTTAAAGTCTATATCAGTTGATGTATTGTCACAAGTTTTGGACGGCTTTTACACTGAAGTGATAGCCGAGTGCACTGTCGTTGACTGCAGATATCCGTACGAATACAACGGCGGACACATAAGAGGGGCCAAAAATCTGTACACACAGGAGGCTATTCTCAGTGAATTCCTCTTAAACAAGACATTAGGCACTCAACCGACTGATGAAAATGAGATGAAACGGAATATTCTTGTATTCCATTGCGAATTCTCATCAGAACGCGGACCAACTTTGTAGGCCTTTTACAAACATATCACTACTTATTTCAATCATAACTTTGTATCCATTGTCGCAGATCTCGCTTTTTACGTAATAACGATCGCTCGCGTAATAAGGACTTATACCCCCGTCTCCATCACCCGGAGATCTATTTACTTGAGGGCGGATACAAAGCATTCTTCGAGAAACATCCCGTAAATAAGCTGTTGTTTGAATGAGGGATTGATATCTATTGATAACTATTGATGTTTTGTCCAGAATCTGTGCGAACCGTCGGATTACCTGCCGATGCACTCCAAAGATCACGAGAACGAGTTGAGACGATTTCGGGCGATTGTGCGGAGTCTGAGCTGTGACGGCAAGACTAGTGTCAGCTCTGTGTTGAAGTCTTCGACTTTGACTCGAGATTATTGACGTTTAGACCTAATTTTGGAAAACAATTCTCATATTTTAACACTTATTTTAGTATTAATTTTTGGAAAACCATTTTAATTTATTTCCTTTTTTGTCATTTCGTTATTTTATTTACATTTAATCGAATTTCTGGCAATTCTTCGTAGAAATAAATCTTTTTAAAAATATCATATATTTGTATAATAATAATGAAATACATTTTTGTTTTCGTCGATCTCTTAGTTATACAAAAAACTTTGTATTTTATGAAATATTTAATGAAAAAAACTATATTATTAGTGGAATTTAAATGAGGGAATGATTTATTTAACAATATGTATAAAAATCAGTTTTATGTGCTTTTATGGCAACTTTTGTTTTGAAAATTTAAAATAAAGACTCGAAAATATTTATTGGTATAAATGAGTGGCACTTGTGTTATAGAACTCAATATAACATTATAACCCCTTCCGGGTTCTTATCGGTTGAGGTCCGCGGCTCTCGACTCTTGACGGGTCGGTTCGCTAAATAAACTAATATAATGTTCACTATATATAGTACGAGAGCTATAATCACGAAGAAGTAGCTGAAGCCGAGCCACGCTCGACCCTCGGAGTTCCAGCCGTCGTTCTGCTCGTCCGGTGTCAACACATTCCTCCGCAGACTATTCTTGTACTGCAATAACCAACTGATTCCTCCGCACAGACAGAATAGGGCTATAAATAAACAAAAACATGGGTTAATCCTAAACCAACCGATCAACTCTTGGATCACAACCAATGAGTCATGTGTTTAATCAAAAGCTTTAGCGCTTTTCCTGAAGATTGAAGAGTTATTTCAGAGTTAGAGATAATGTAATCAACGATTAGAACTCATGGGTTAGAACTCAGGGTTAGAACTCATGGGTTGCCCTCAAAATCATAGCTAATATATATTTGTGTTCCATATTATCGTATAAATTCATCTTCAAATAAGTCTCAGCTTAAGTCTCAGATCTATTGGAAAGCCTATTATATACAGCATATGATCAGTCAGTCATTGTTTTGATAATTATTTGGAGAAACTAATCGTTTTAAAACTACTTTAAATGATATCATTTTTAGCAATTTATGTCATTTTAATGTGAATAACATGTTGTTTTAAAACATGTAAATTTATTCGACATTTCAAAAACAATATTAAGTTATTAACCTTTTCTTTCGTTAAGAAAAGGGTGTGTTTTTGGCCGCTCTCTAGGTTTGAGAGCTTTAGCCATCAAATAAGTATTTTTAAAACAATATTATGAAACAATTAATGTAAATTAAATTTATAAGAATATGTAATTTGTTTGAAAGCATATTATTAAGCGGTTTATCCACTATTTTTATTGCGTTAATAGTATTTTGAATTTCAATTGAATTATTAAACAGTTGTTTGAATTATGATAATTTTAATAACAACTGAGCGAATGTTTGATCATGTAATATATGACATAATAGTAGTATTTATAACACAATAATTGTGGTAATAGTGAGCACTTGTTTTACTTCTTTATCATTATTTCCTCATAATTTATTTGCCGAAAGAAAATGCTTTGAAAGCTTCTGTTGTGTACTTTCTGTGATTTATTTGTTTTTAAATTCAAAGCGAAGTTTAAATGTTTTTCAATACAAAAAACATAAAACTTCAATAAAATTAATTGCTTTTAAAATTTTTATCGAATTGTAAATGAATTTATTTGAGTATTTCGTGAGAAAAATCTAATCAAATTCACAAAATATGTTAAAATATATTGTTTTATGAGTTGAATGAAAGAGTGTTTAGTAAAACATATACGAAAATAGTCCGTTAATGAACACTAAAACCAGTTTTATGTTAATTATGGGCAAAATAAGTGCTAAAATTGAACTTTTCTTATAATTTCAAAGTATTTTTAAAAGACAATGATATCTAGAAAATAAATCTCATTTATTAATAGAATATAATTAGGATTTCAAGTATGACTTAAAGTTAACAACTCGTGATAATTAGTTTCCAACATATATTAGCATTGAATTGAGTTCTTGTAAATGATTGCGAAATGTATTGAATTATTGAATCGATTAATGGATTACCTGCTAATCCGTTCCACAAGAATAATCCTTGAATACCAGTAATGATTTCAATTGGAGTCATAACTGTGTTTATAATGGAGAAGACGGAGCTAACGATCCCGAAGACCATCGCAATGGCAACGCATAGGACTGTGAATAACCACAACCCGAATGCCATAAAATTGGGATTTTTCGCCAATTCTTGTTTCACTGCAAAACAAAATAACATTTAAATAACAATACATTTTAATGAAATGATAGCTAAAATAATTGTTCCTAAAATCTAGACTTTTTTGCTTCTTATTATAATAGCGTTTATGCGCTTAAAAAGCGATAATTTTCCGTTCAATACATTCAATGCTAAGGAATTGTTTGTTTGCTTTCAAGACGAAGAGTTAACTGTATTTTGTGATCAAAATGCATATCGAGTTTAGTTTTTTATGTTATTTTTTAAATATAAAGTGTGACAAAGTCTAAGACGTCGTCGTTCCGCACCAATTGCTCCTCTGATGGCAATACAATTATCACAACAAAGATTTTTTGGCGATAAATAGATTTCTATCAAAACATTTCTACTAACTTATAGACATTTTTAAGAAAGTCATTGCGTTTTTTATTTCTACTATACGTTTATATTTGCATTTTTCATAATTCAGGCATATTTTAATATAAGTTAGTTTTAAAATGGGTATTTTTGCGTTAATTATACTTTGATTAAATATTTATTTAAAATTTATAAAAATGACATTTTTTAGTGAATTTTATTGTATTTTGCAACAGTAAAGTAAAGTAAAATATTAAATATACTTTTATTAACTGCATAATGATTTAAGTTATATTTTGTTAATTTAAAATTTGATAATTAAACTCAAGGATAGTTATTACAATAAAGAATCTTTTAATGCTATAATGAATTGAATGAAATAATGATTATTAATATTGTGGTAAGTTTTTGAATGAATTGACTGTCAGTCTCAATCACCAAAACCTACCGACACCTCAATATTTACTGAAAATATTTTGTTAACCAATTGACACAAATTGGTGACAATTTAATGGTTAAAACTAAACTAAAAGTTAATAAAACAAAGACTAGTGAAATGGTTGACAACTAAACGGTTGTCAATTAGAGTGAAAGTGAAAACTTCAGAAATCAGTTGCAAAACAAATATTGTATTCATATCTGAGATATTGTTTGCGAAAACAATTTCTGCGAATTATTTAATATAAATATTTGATAATAAAATGAGTGAACGATTCAATTGAAACAATTTTTGTTAAATATTTGTTTTGGGAGACAATTAGTGGTTAAATAAAATGATAAAATCATGATTAGAGGAACAGATAAGTAATGAACTAAATATATATATATACTCCAGATTCCGGTGATTCTGTCGCCGAAGCCATAGTTCAAGACTTTAGTGCCGTGAAAGAGTCCGAAATGAATTTCACCGCGAAATTTGCCCGAATCCAAGTCAGAGTCACCGACGGTCTCATTGGCGGCACCGGATGTGCTCATCGATGTGTTGAAGAGTGTGATTCGGATGGGTTTGGCGACAATCCACTTGTGAGTGGCCAAAGAGGCGGTCAAAAAGGCCAGACATGCCGTACAGATGAAGAATGTGAGAAATGTGAGCACTCTTTTGCGCTGTTCCATAGCCTCTGGTGTGACAGCACTTGTCAGCACTGGTGGTATGTCTTGCGCTCAACTCGTTGTCGCTGCAAATATCACAAACAGATCACTGACAAGACATCCATCAGACATATAGATGGATACGTTGAGAGCAATTATAATTAGTGTTGACACAAACACCAAACAAATGTTTGATTGTTAGAGCAAATGGAGTGTTAGGTGTGAGCACTCTGTGAGGACTGGTCTCGCAATTGGTATAAAGAAGTAACAAAAACTCAAAACACAGACACAGATATGGAAGTCATAGGATAGGTATAGAGTAGAGTGTATTGTATTGAGTGAAGTGCAAAGCCATGACATACACGAAGCGATTCCAGTGTTTGGGTCGTGTCGTGAATGCAATGCTTGACTGCATCACTGAATCCACCACTCTTTGCATACCTCAGTGCAGAGGCGAACAGGACTCACAACTTACCTGTTCCTACACTACAGCCCTCACCATAATATAGCATAACATATACCTGTTTAGACTAACAATCGTATGCAACAAAACAGCCCTCTCTTATTGTTGTATCCCCTGATCCTCTCTCTCTCTCTCTCTCTCTCTCTCTCTCTCTC